GCAGTGCTCCAATGAAGTGCCTTCTATTGAAGATACTTCTTATTCAGGCCTACATTTTTCTTTTCTGTGCCATTCCTCACCTTTTCCTAGTCACATGGAGAAACTTGCTGTTTTCTAAAGACAGTGCTCTACTGAGAGTGTCTACTTCTCTCTCTTGCTTTTTTTGTTATGAATTTTCCTTCCCCCATCCCTAATTTAAAACACACACACACACACACACACACACACCACTAAAATGAAAACTATCCTTAAAAGTCTTCTCCAAGGTAATCTTTGCTCTGAAACCTTTCCTGATTTCCCTCACTCCACCCTTTTTCTCACATTGTTTTCTGATAACTCTGTCTTCACATGTACCAGAGCTCTTATCAAGGTTTGGTTTGTATTACAACTCCAGGGGCTGCTTCTCTTAGGAGGATTCTGAGCACTTTACTTGGGTCTACAACAAAGCCCTTGAATTAACTGCTTAATTCTTCTCAGGAGAAGACAAGGTCTGTGACTCTGGTGGAGACTGCAGATTCCAGGCTCCCAGGTCCCTCGTGTGTCCCACCTTCCTCTCCTATCAGCTGTTTCCTTTCACACAGAAGTCCAGGTCAATAATTAATGCCACTGTGATAAGTTATCAGAAGAGCTGGCACAATAGGGAATGAAGACACTGGTCCCACTCTCCTAAAATGGGTGAAACCAAGGAGACTACTGAACCCCCTAGGCTGAAAGGTGATTAGGTCTTCTATCAGGAACCACAGAGACCCAAGTCTTCATCTTTCCTCAGATACCCTGAGCAATATCTGACCTCCAATTAAGAAGACTCAGGGCTGGCACTTGGGGTGAGAAAGGACACAGGAGAGCTCTGTCCTTGGGGCTGAGGAAAACTGATAGTGTGGAGAGGCTGGGAGGGTGAGGGGGAGACTGGAGCCCTTCTCTGTGTGTTCTAGAGACCATGCTATTGGCTACACCTGGTGGGTTCACACACACATCAGAGTCACTGTCTGGGAAAGTGCAACCTGTACCTGGTTGGCCTCAAACAGGGGCTCAGATGTTGTAACCCCTTTCTTTCCCAGTTCACACTGTTGGATGTATAGAAGTGAAATGAGCTTAGAAAGAGAAATGAGAAATCTTATAAAGTGGGAATCATCAACAGGAATGATAACCTGCACACCCTTCAAAGCCTTTTGCCCTTTAGTCATTGTCATGTGAGATGAAATATTGGGGTGTGGGCAGGAGGCTGGAATTTGGAGAAGATTGTACAATGTTTCACTAAGGAAAGGCTTTCTCAACTGAGGCCTATACTGCATAGATTTGTGACAGGATTGAGGTGCCAAGCTGTTTGTCCCCTAAGAGGCTCTTTAGTATCATAGGGTCATGAAGTATCCCAAATTACTCTAATCCAAATTGACCTTTGTCTCCATAGAGTTAGCTCCAGAGAGTCTGGAGCCTCACTCCTAGAGAGGAATCAGAAAAATTGTGCATAACTTGGAACAGGAGCAGGTATACTACTTGAGAGAAAAGTGTGAGACACACGAGAGGAGTGGGTGAGCCCTTGCCACTCAGCCTCTCTCTAAGGAGGCTCCTTGGGCACCACAGCCCACAGAGGCCCTGTAACTCTAATCTTCCTGGTCTGCCTTTGGCTCTAGAAGGATTTCAGAGGGTAAATTCTAGGCATCCATCAAGGTGCAAAAAATGTACTTCCCTTTATTTTCCCACCTGTGCCTGGTTTCAGGCCAGTCACTGATGTGGCTTCATGATGTCCTATGTTTTTGGGAACCTGATTGACCACTCAAGTTTATCCTTTCTCAACTGTCTTGAGCTGCTTCATGATAGGGGACTCAAGAGTTGGAAAATTTTAGTTTAAGGTAAATGGTTATAAACCTAGTAAGTAATGCACATGTTAAAGCTACTGTAGTCAGAAACTACAGCCAAGGCCCATCCTGGCTCTAGAAAGAGACAGCCAAGCTCCTGGGGAACTGCTAAAGATTATTGCCTGGGGAACAAGTGGAGGCATCTGGGTCATTGTGTTCCAGGAAGAGACAGATGACCACCACCTCTGGGACCAGCTAACTGTCCAGGGTGAGAATACTGCAGTTTTTAAGTCTAATTTTTTCTGAATTTCAAACCCCCTTTGTTCTCTGTTATAAAAAGGCTGACTTGGAAAGAAAATGTAAGATGGTCCATTAGGGTATGAACCCAGCATCTTCTCAGATCACTGGCCATCTGAATAAAGCACCCAGAAAGATTCAATCCCTGTCTCTGCTTATTGGGTTCAGTACAGGACAGGTAGCATGAATGTCTTTCCTGTCTCTTTTTCTGTGTCATTCATGTGCACATGAATAAACTTTGTCTAGTGTCTCCTCTTAATCTGGCTTTTATCAGTTAATTCAAAGGCCCTCAAATAAGATCCTAAATGGGTAGGAAAAATTTCCCTCCCAAACACCACTTAAGATGATAAGAGTACTACCTAAGGACTAACAAACAAAACATGGATGGAGGATGAGGTGGTGGGTGAACTACAGAAACATGAAACTAAAACCTTATGCCATGGTATGGCTTCCTTGGCCCCATTGCTACTCCCAAAGTCATACACACTAGCAAATAAGGTTGACTTGACTAAAGGTTTCTAGGATATCATGGGACAGAAAAATTTAAATTTTTTATTTAAAAAATTCTGTTCTTCCTACCAAGGTCCCTTTGTTTTCTCCTCTTCCCCTTTCTTTTTCTCCCCAGGATTTCAAAACTGGCTGCTATCTTAAGCTCAGGTTTGTAGCAACACCAAGATCTGTTACTTGACTCCACCTCTTGTAAAAAGCAATTCAGAAATCACCCAGTGTTATTCCTTTGTGAGAGATCTCAGCACAAAGAGATCACCACTCTCTGTGAACAATCACTGACCTACCACTTACCAAGGGGGGACCCTCCCAAAATGGAATTCATTTATTAAAAATTGTGTATTTATTCTTACAACTTTAAACATCAGTCACTTTCAAAGTACTCTCCATTAGATGCAATACACCTATTGAGGTGTTTTTTTCCATTGCTTAAAACAGTTTTCGAACTCCTTGATTTTGATGCCTTTTAGTCCTTCTGCTGTTTTTTGTTTCACCTCTTCCACATGGACAAAATGTTTCCCTTTGAGGACTTTTTTCAGCCAGGGATACAAAAAAAAAATGTTGCTCTGGTAGATAGGAAGGGTGGGGCGAGGGGGTCATGTCATTTTTGGTCAAAAACTGCTGAACACTCAGGGCATTGTGGGTGAGCAAATATGCTCCTAAATCACCCATTATGAAATGGGCAAACACCTTGAAAGAGTCTTCAAACAAACAAACAAAATTCACTGAGGCTGAATGCAGCCTGTCACAACAATGCCAGCTGGTACACTGATACAGATGGGTTCCTAGAACACTTTCCTAGCAGGGGAAGCCTGTACTACAAGGTACAAGGTGCCTACCCTCCAGAAGATAAATTGTGTTTTGGGGGTCCTCCCTCATGGATGCTTTCTAAACACGACTTTAAGCACTTTGCAGTTCTTACCTTCTTTCATCCTAATATCAGATCTAAGAGGTACATTATGCCCATTTTAGAGACCAGGAAACTAAGGAGCAGGGAAATAAATTAAGTTCTGTAACTAGCCCAGCTCTTAAGGTGCTAAACTAGAATTTGGACTGAGATAGTCTAAATCCAGATCATGGACTGCCAGACAATCCAATTTCTCCCTGTATGTACCTGGCTCTTGACCTGCTGCTCCAGCACTGGAGTTCAGAGCCTGTGAGTCCCTTAGCAATTTTAGGAAAAACATATTCAAAGGGAAGAAACTTAATGATTTTGATGTTAGGGCCGTTACTGAAGAGGCACCTGAAACAGAAGCAGTACCTTCATTTTGGAATGTGAAATTTTCTAAGCAGTTAGCTGCAGTAAATAAACAGCATTTTTCAGAATGGTTTTATCCAGTGGATAAAAGAGAGGAGACTATGGAAGTTCCCAGTTAGCAACAAAGCAGGTTTTGATGATGATGGTTCAGAACTTCATGGACATATATTTCTGGGTAAATACGTGGAGGATTTTCTAAAACAATGACCAGTTCACCACTTCATGGAGCTAGTGACATGTGACCTTTCCAATAACCCATATCTGAGTGTTAAACAGAAAGTTAAAATACTTTGAGTGGTTAAGAAGTTATTTTAATGAAAAAAACAGGACATTCTTTAAAAAGTGACATACAGTTCAATGGGAAACCATAGAAATCTTTATTTCAAGCTGTTGGAGAGTAATATAACTAAATAAAATAATTTTACTATAAAAATAATAAGTCTAGATTTTGATATTTCTCATTCAAGCAGTATCAAATAGTCACCCAGTAAAAAGAAATCTCTTTCTAGAAGGGAATTCTGCTGCTAAGAAATATGATATTCTCTATTTTTTTCTCCAAAAGGGATTTTGGATTTTGGTTTATCTTTTTCTACTCAACTCTAACCTATAGGATGAGTGGTTACTGTAGATAAAAACTGTCATACAGTCACTCAGGAGGGTTGAAGTGACCAGAACTGAGGTCATGAAGAGGCTTCCTTCTTAAGCAGACTGTTCAGGTACTCTCCTCCTCCTTCTCTAGCTAGAGACAGTTGGGTACTTCTCCCTACTCGCCCCTCACCCCCCCCCATATCCCCATCTGATAATAGGAGATAGGGAATTCTGGTCAAAGCCACTCCAGGACTCCTGGGTAGAGAGAGGACCTTCTTTTCCCTTCCTCTCCCTTGATTACATATTATGTGCCCTTTGCTAACCTCCAAGAGCTATTTGGACTTGGTTGGGGTTTGAGCATTACTGCTATAGTGGCTTTCTATGTTGTTCCTGTGGACCAGCAGGAACAACAGAGGGGAGCAAGGGCAATTCCCCGCTCCTTCCTCACAATGCCCTTCTTTTCCTCTAGGCTGAAACCAATATGCTCCTCCCCTATTTCTCATCTTGGAAGCCAAGCCCCTTTGTAATCTACATAAAGTCCACACTACAAGGATCTGGTGACTGCATAAATTGGTCTTCCGCTTGCTCTCGCCCTTGTCTGGAATCAAAGCTAGAGACCCAGGTAAGTGGTCCAAGAGGTGGTCTCAGGAGCTGCTTCTGCCTGAAAGTTGGAGAGGAGGGAGCCAGGGTGGGCAAGGTTAACAGTGTGAAAGCATGGGCTAGGGAAACACAGCTGGGGGCAGGACTGGGATGAGGAGGGAGTACTATGGTTGCAGAGGACCCATGGGGCTGGAGAAGGAGCAGCCCCAGGCAGGGTGCAGGCAATCATCTCTTTGGAATACAGTGGCATCCCTTTATGATGCCAGTGTCAGGCACTGGGTTGAGTTTCCCTTGTGTTATAGGACAACAGGGCTCTGTCCACCACGATCCTGGATGTCATGGTAGTATCTGGGATACAATTTGACTCATGGTTTGTTTAAAAGGATCTTCTATTGAGCCACTAGAGCACTGAGTACAAATGTATTTTATTTTTCAATTGTATTTTTAGATTAAAAAAAAAAACCCTCCAGTATTCAAAAACAGGACTGACAGGATTTTAGGTTGCTTTGGAGGTCACAACCCAGAGGGGAGGACCTCCTCTCTATGACTACTAGTAGTTAAATGCTTTTGGAGAAGAGTCTGTGTGAGTGTCTCATTACTTGGAAAATCTTGCAGGAAGATGGATGTCTTTCTGGCTGACCTGAGTGTAAGCCAGGGAGACCAAAGATGGGAGATGAGATTCTCTTTCCAAAGTAATGGTTTTCCTCTTCTCTACCTGTCCTGGCTAGGCTCCTCCAAGGCAGTGAGGGCAGCATGGCTCAGATGTCCTTCATCCTGTGCCTGCTGCTAATCCTGGTGCTGTTGGTGCTGGGATGGACCCAGCCTTCCCTGGGCAAGGAATCATGGGCCATGAAGTTTCAACGGCAGCACATGGACCCAGACGGTTACCCCACCAACTCCAGCTATTGCAACCTAATGATGAGGCGCAGGAAAATGACAGAGGGAAGGTGCAAGCCAATAAACACCTTTGTGCATGAGCCTTTGGTGGATGTCCAGGCCATTTGCCTCCAGGGAAACATTACCTGCAAGAATGGGCAGTCCAACTGCCACAAGAGCAGCTCCAGCATGAACATCACGGACTGTCGCCTGACGAATGGTTCCAAGTACCCCAATTGTGTTTACCGGACCAGCCAGAAAGAGAGGCAGATCATTGTGGCTTGTGAGGGAAACCCATACGTGCCAGTTCACTTTGATGCTTCAGTAGAGGTCTCCACCTGAGACCAGGGCAGTGAGATGCCCGACCTCATCCTGTCACCCGCCTGTCCCCTCTTCCTTCCTTGCCCTGTGGGAAATAACCCAAGTTAGGGCTCCTATATGATATAAACATGCTTCCCTGGTATGAGGTTTGCCCTTGTGTGGTTTGGAGGATAAGGAGTGGGTTGTGAGGAGAGCTTCGTTTTAATCACTTTACTGCTTCTTTCAATAAAACTCAGTTGCAACCACCTGGATTCCTGGATTCTGCACGTTCTCCATTTCTGCTTTCCTGCCAGAGGGTGAGAACTATAAATCTGGTTAACTTTGATGAGCAGCGAATAGAATCATTACATGCCTCATCTTTTGGCTCTTGGCTTTTAGAGATAATTCTTTTTTAAGATAATTCCTTTTCAGGTAGATTCCTTGATGTCAAGCATAAATTTTTAAATCTTGTGGAGGAAAGACTGTTCCATGATGTGACCCCTTCTCTCACTAATGAGCTGGACCAGACAGAGACTGTTTCCCACAAACCACCCTGAGAGACTGTCTGATCATAATTGATGTTCATTATGACATAAATCAGGACCCTTCCCCTGCCTCCTGTGACTTGCTATTTCCTGGAACAGGCCATTGTCCTGACCTGGTCAAGCATGTAAAGTAATTTTTATACCTGGTAGCATTCGTGTACTAGTATTCCTGATGATCTCTCCCCTCCCCCTTTACCCTATATAATTCTTTGGCACCTGTCAGGTGCTGCGGGGATCCATTCTGTCTTGCAGCCACCCAGACATGCCTTGCATGTAAGTTTCTCTTAATGACTAATTACCAGACTGGAGCGAGGAGACTATTTCATTGGTCTTTCCTTGCCCTCCCCTTAGGGACTTAGGATTCCAGTCCCAGGACTTTTCCCTGCGTCTGCATTTACTAGCAAGTGTGGGGTGTTTTAGATAAAAGGGAGCTACAGGGGACACTGTCATGCTGGATGAACTGACAGAAGGAAAATCTTAAACACTAAATTCTCTGACACAGAAGGAAGGACAGTGTGACCTCAGGAAGACCCTGCTCAGCCTCGGGGTTTGGAGGAGGAGTGTATGAAATTATAATCTTAAATTTGCCTTTCTTTCTTTATTTCTCTTTCCTTCTCTATCTCTTTCTCTGTCTCTCTCTCTCTTTCACTATTACTAAGTCAGAAAAATAGGGAGCATTTTTCAATCTGTTGAGATTTTTGCTTCCCAGCAATTGTCATCAGTTTGGCTCACCAAAAATTCTCTAAGAAAAAAAAGAAAAATAAAAATGGTCATTTCTTACTTAGAAAACCGGAACCTTCCATTTAGAAGCTAGAAGGGACTTTAGAAAGAAAATAATTTGGTCTCAACTTGTGTACAGACTTTAATTGGAAGTGCTTGCTTAGACTGCTGTAGAAGAACTAAAAAGTGATGTAGTTGAACAGTAGCATCTATAGAAGGTATGAGAGAAGTAAAAGGGTAGATGCCATCCATTTGCCATCCCTGACATAATGTAACCTCTGTTTTCTAAGGAGGAGCAACCTGAATCCCAGAAAAGTTAAGTGGCTTGTTCATGGCTGCTGCTAGTTAGTGGCAGAGCTGGGAGTGGACCCCAGGTCTTCTGGCTTCCAAGCCATCCTTTCTGACACTACAGTATACTTAAAAAACAATCCCCAGCCTCCCTGCTCCACCACGTGCTGTGGGGTTGTGGCTCTTTCTTTCTGGGTTCATAGGTGGTTCTCACAGATTTATCAGAGTACATGGCCTTGTGAGTCTCTTCAGCTCTTGGCAAAACTTCCTTACAGCCACTGAAAAGACTAGACTTTCATCACTTAATCATTTTATATGTTCCCCTGTTTATAGCTGCATCTGGCTCTAGACAAGGTCATAGGGAGAAAAAAGCCCTACTTCCAACCAGTTTGACCAGTTCTGTCATTGTCTTTACATACTACATTTATAAATACTGGAAGTGATATTTTTATTATGAAAGTGAATTCTTAGCCCTGGGGGCTTCTGTGTGAGGAGGAGGGTCTGGTGATGAGAAGAACCAGAGATCCCTACATTTCTGGGGTAACAGAGATCTCACTCCTTACCAGCAGTGAGGATGCAGGTGGAAAAAAGGAAACTTTAAGTTTCCAGATATGTTTCCTGTAGACTGATTTTTCTTAAGGTCATCTCACTCTTCTTTCCAAGTTTGAAGCTCCTCATTTCTCCTCCTGCTAGTGGTAACACTTTAGTGGAGCTTCTAAGAGTGCCTACTTGGTGTTTTGCTGCATCTGTACCTGCATATTCAGCAGCCATGGCTCCTGGGTCCTTGAACCTCCTGGGTGTTAACCTAAAAATAAAAAGCAAACATGAGAAGCATAAGTGTTTATCTGGGATCTGGAAAAATTGCAATTCAGAAGAACAAATTCAGGCAGAATCCTAAATAGTGTTCCCCCTTTATAGGAGAGGGGCTCAAGGTTTTTATAGAAAAATGGGAGAAAAATAAGTAAGTTGTATTTAAAAAGAGTTTATTGGTGCTGAATGAATAAGATTAGATTTATACTTTATGCATTGGCCTGGGATTCAGCCAGAATTGTATTTAATTGATTGGTTAGCGATTTGGTCATCCACAAAGCCCAATTTTATCAGTCCTTACAAACAGAATATTCTAGTTATTACCAGCTTCTTGGAATTATGGTGATTTGGTCCAGTTTGTAAGATAAAGAAAAATAAGACGTGCAGGGCAGTTCCTCTGAAATGGCTACTTTGGCTCTAAGTTTATGTGGCTCCACTCATGTTATCTTTCATGTGTGATATGAGACTGCTGGAGGGCTCCATGTGTGGAAAAAGGTAATAGGTGACAACAAACTGCCCAGGTTCAGACTTGCACAGCCAGGGAGACAGTGGGGAAGGAAAGTGGCCTAAATAGGTAGAGACTGGGAGAAGAAAGATGGACTCTTGTCCTAGAGGGGTCAGGCACAATCAAGAAGAGAAACAGTTGTTCGAAGACAAATCAGAGGCTTCTGTTCTGTGGAGAGGCTATTGCTACCCTACAAATAAAGAAGTACTAATCCTCCCAGTGCTAACAGCAGATTTGACCTTGGTCCTTGATTTCAGCTAAGACAGCATTCCAAGCCAACAACTCATGTGTAAATGAAAATTTAGAGATTTGCAGAGGTAGAAGTGAACTCAGAAGTCACAGAAGTAAAAGAAGGGCCCTTGGAGCTGAGGAGAAAGAAAGCAAAGATAACATTCTTGAGGGAAGAAGAGGGGTAAAGGCATGGGTGTTCTCCAGAGAGAGTGTGCCTGAGAAAAGAAGAGGGAGGGGAAAGGCGTGCATATATTCCAGAGAGAAAGAGCACACACTGGGTCCCTCATCTTAAGGGTTTTCATGTGTTTTCTAAAGGAAGCTATTTTAGGGGTCTCGGGGAGGATCTCAATAGAATATTCAACAGCTTTCCAGATGTGTCCTTTCAGAATCATGGTTTCTACTGATTGGTCAGTGCTTGGGTAGGAGGTCATTAATCATTGCATTTGGTCCTGATGTCCACTGTGGTGTCACGTTTGTCTGGTTTTGCTGTTTTTCTGGGCCTGGAGCTGAAACACAACCAAGGCCTAGATGTCATCTCTAATTTGATCAAATCTCTGTCTCTGTGGTCAATAGGCCCAAGCCCTAGTTTCTGAGATCATTTGATGTTGATCAGATCCTCATTGTCTTAGGGGCTTAATACCTCAGGAGTAGTGCAAAAGCTTGTATGGGAATCATAGAAGGTTTTTCTCCAGCCCCCTTGTTTGTTCTCTAAGGGAGTCTAAATTACATGACTAGTGATATGAAAGATCTAAACCATATGACCAGCAATATGCTAGGGGAGGAAAGGTTACCCTCGGGGTAAGGTAACCTTTGGGATCCTAGCCTATAATACTCGTTTTCTCTACTTTTGCTCCTTGCTAGGAACCTGGAACTTTCCATGTTGGTGATATTCCATATCTGGACTATACTTCCTGCTCTGCTCATGCCTGTCTAAATGCCTACCATATCACTGGAGAGTAACACAGGCAGATTAATCTTAAAATGGAGGTATTAACATGTTAAGATGGGTATCTGCTTGGAGACAGGGATGGCCATATCCAGTGAAGAATAATGTTAATTTTTAGAAGCTTCTTTAAACCAAGGAAGCTTTAAGAATTCCACACTTTCAGTGAACAGAGAAACATGATAGACATTTCAGCTCTTCCTTACCTCTGTAGCTGTAAGTGTATCTGATACAGTCGGCAGTTAGACGGACATGAGCAGAGCAGGAATGAACGGCTAAGCACAAAAGGTCACTAGGGCAGAAAGCCTGGGGTGTTTAGCAACAGGCAAAACTGGGAAAACAAGTACTGTGGGGTGACCTGTCCTACCCTCACATATTACTAGTCATGAGGTTTAGACCCCCTGAGCTTTCATACTGGTAGTCATGCATTTGGACCCTCGTCTGACCTTTCCCCCTCTGGCATGTCCCTAGCCATGTGGTAGACTCACTTAGAGGAGAAACAAGCCCAAAGTATAGCCTCATCTGACTTTCATACAAGCTCTTGCACGACCTCTCCCTTAAGCATTAAGCCCCTAAGACAATGAGGTTCTGATCAACATCAAATAATATTAAGAACAAAGCCTTGGATCTGTTAACCACAGAGACAGAGTTTTGGTCAAAGTAGAGATAACATCTAGGTCCCAGTTGTGTTTTAGCCTCAGGCCCAGAAAAGCAGAAAAACCAGACAAAGTGACACCACAGCTGACATCAGGACCAGATGCAATGACTAACTCCCTACCCAAGCACTGACCAATCAGCAGAAATTATGACTCTGAAAGGACACACCTGGAAAGCTGATGAATATTCTACTGAGATCCTCCCCTAAAAAAAAAAAAAACCTCTATTCAGCCTCTCTTTCCTTCTCCCTCTCTGGCATGCCCACCCCTTTCCTTCCCCCTTTCTTCCCTTAGGCACATTAACTTTGCTTTCTTTCTCCTAAGCTCCAGAGGCCCTTCTTTTGCCCCTGTAACTTGCTTCTTGAGTACGTGCAGCTCAGCTGGCCCACTTCTTCCATGGCTCACTTCTACCCCTGTGATTTTCTAAATAAACTTTCACTTGTATTTGAGTTCCTTAGCTTTGAATGCTGTCTTAGACGAACTCAAAGACTGAGATTTAACAACTGGTATTGTTCACCACCTACATATCGACAAAATCATAGTGTTTTTTCCCTCTTC